TCGAAACTGTAGTACATTCTGAATGAAAATTCCTTTGGGGAAGCAAGGCAATGCTAAATTCAATGAAAAAAGGGAAGCAACGTACTTATGCTACTAACTAAGTTAATAAGAGATGGAAAAATAAGATTATAGTTAAGCTTATGAACGACAATGAAGTATTAAGGTTATACAACTGTGTGGGCATTTTAGGCCAAAGAAGATGCGACTTTTCAGCTGCAAATTAACTCTAGAGGCTAGGTCCTATTAGGGATAAAATCAAGTAGGAAGCCAGGCAAATAAATTTACACTAGGGGAAATAAATTAGTTTAATCTAGAACTCAAATAAAAACATGGATTTTCAGCAATAACTTTATTTTGAACGTAAAATACTAACATTCTGTATTCCCCTACCGAAACAATATCGCTTTATTTTGAGGAGCTTGCAACAAAATTGAATATTGGATTATTATTTAGTTTAATATAAGTTTTTAAGTATACAGATAAAGTAAGCTGAAGCCATATTTGGCAAGAATCAAAAGTAGCGAAAACAAAAAAATATTCTTAAATTCTTTGTCAGAAATTCATTGGAAACCGTTAATTAAAACGCTCAAGTCTTAAAAACTCAATATGATCTTGGATAAGGGCCTTTTGATCAACTTACCAATGTTATCTCGGTGTACTGATTCCCTTTGTCGACGTTCAAGCTCGGCGCGATCATAGTTGAGCCTTTTCAAGCAAACTATTCCGTACAAAAGGCTGGTCCGATGAAGTCCATCCACCATTTTAAGGTGTGTGCGGAGATCTCGTTTTGTAAGGTGGTCCAGCATTCGAGCATCAACCAGGCACTCCATAAAAGCGGGTCGGTACTGGCCAAGCCCTAGACCAGGCAGCCAAACGTTACCCACCCATTCATGGTTCATATCGCCAAAGGCCAAGCGACTGAGAATAGGCGCGAATATAGAGTTTGTTGAGTGATAAGGTTTTCAAAATAAGGGGAAATGGAAAGTAGAATATTAAACACAATTTTAAAATAAACGCTTTTTTGTAACCAACCAAAGATAAGAAGATATGAAGACCAAGATGTTGTGGCCTCTGGTATGGCG